GGGCAGTCTTGGAGCGTCGGAAAGCCGAACAGGTGAGAACGCCAGCTTCTTTCAAAAAGCCCCCTTGGCCCCATCCTGAGGCCCTCTTGGGCCCCCAAAAGTCACGCGGGGAGACGCGACAAGCCCTCGACAAGACGCCAGAAGTCCTGAAAGATTTCGCAACCTGGGCTCCGGCCCCCCGGGAGAGACTCCTCAGGATTGAGGAAAGAGGCTCAGGTGACTGGGCACAGGACCCGAGGACACGCCCGCTCCGTGCCCAATGGCACGGTGGCGGATTCCGGGGGCAGCAGGAACCCAATCTATTTCCAGCGCCTCTTTAGTTACGTCATGCGAGGAGGAGGAGGAGGAGGAGGAGGAGGAGAAGGAGGAGGAGGAGCAGGAGGAGGAGGAGGAGGAGAAGGAGGAGGAGGAGGAGCAGGAGGAGGAGGAGGAGGAGGAGGAGGAGGAGGAGGAGGAGGAGGAGGAGCAGGAGGAGGACCCGCTCCCCCGACCGACGGCACGCCCTGCAGGCTGCGCCCTGCCAGGCCGGCCCCTCGGGGGCGGGGCTCCGCGGGCGGGGCCCCGCCGAGCCCCCCCGCGGCCCTTGCGAGGTCGGAGGCTGCCGCCTTCCTGGCGCGCGCGCTGCCGGAGCTGGCGGGTGCGCTGCCGGCGCCGGAGGTGTCGTGCGCCGAGGCGGCTCGGCTGCGCGTGTCATCAGAGCCCCGAATCATCAGGGGTAACTCGGGTCAGGGCTAACTCGGGTTCGTTTTTCGGAAATCCGAACCCGAGTTACCCTGGGCCCGAGTTACCCCGGATAATTCGGGCGTCCAGAGCCCCACATCATCAGGGGTAACTCGGGTCAGGGCAAACTCGGGTTCCTTTTTCGGGAATCCAAGCCCGAGTTACCCCGGACCCGAGTTACCCCGGATAACTCGGGCGCCCAATGTCAAGCAGTGGCGAAGCGTCCTGGCTCGCCTATAGCCCTACCAAAGAATGTTCTAAGAACCTCTTGCGGTTCCCACGAGATGCTCTTAGAACATGTCTGGTTGATGTTGTCTTGTTTTAACTCGTCGGGCTTGCGTTCTAAGAACATGTCCTTGTTCTTAGAACATTGTAGGGTTCTAAGAACATTTCGTGGTAGGACTATAGGAATGCTGGGTCGGTCGGTCCCTGCTCAAGCGTGGACCGAAACGAACAAGGGGGGGGATGCAACTCCTGGGAGGTAAACTTCTGGTTTCGCTTGATCCAGCTTCATCACGCTCAATCCCGCTCAATTCAGCTTGATCACGCTTCATCTGGCTCAATCCCGCTTGAAACCGCTTAATCCGGCTTGATCCTGCTTGGTCCGACGCCCTTTCCGGCGTAACGGCTTCCCAATGGGGCTTAATCTTCCTTGATTTTTCCGACGAAAGCCTCCCAGTAGTTGTTTCCTAACACAAGGGGGGGGGGCTGCAGTCACCCCCCTCAGTAAGGATGGGCAACCTTCCCATGGGTACCCTTGCATCCCTTCCCCTTCGGCCCACCCTTGGCGACTTCCGCCGGCCAGCCTCGTTCGAACAACGCTAACATGGGTATCCGAGGCCCTTGCATCCTTACCGCGCATCCTTATGATACGGGTTGATTGTACTTGCCCTCAGAGAGAATTATCCTGGCGAAGGACCCAGCCGTATGCAGGTGTGAGTACACCAGGTCAGCTGGGACGAAGAAAGGGGAGCTCCTTACGGGGCCTTCGGTGGAGCTCCCTGTGGAGCTATGACCGTGTGAGGGGTGTGCCAAAATGGGTGGCGGCCCCCGCATGCGGCCTGTGCCACAAGGGCCTTCGGTGGAGATCCCTGTGGGGCCACGAACCGTGTGAGGGGTGGCGGCCCCCGCAGAGCTCCCTGTGGGACCACGAATTGTGTGATGGGTGTGCCAAAATGGGTGGCGGCCCCTGCATGCGGCCTGTGCCACTGAGGCCTTCCGTGGAGCTCCCTGTGGGGCCACGAACCGCGCGAGGGGTGTGCCAAAATGGGTGGCGGTCCTCGCGTGCAACCTGTGCCACTGGGGCCTTCGGAGGAGCTCCCTGTGGGGCCACGAACCGTGCGAGGGGTGTGCCAAAATGGGTGGCGGTCCCCGCATGCGGCCTGTGCCACTTGAGCCTTCGGTGGAGCTCCCTGTGGGGCCACGAACCGTGTGAGGGGTGTGCCAAAATGGGTGGCGGTCCCCACACACGGCCTCTGCCACTGGGGCCTTCCGTGGAGCTCCCTGTGGGGCCACGAACCGTGCGAGGGGTGTGCCAAAATGGGTGGCGGAACCCGCATTCGGCCTGTGCCACTTGAGGCTTCGGTGGAATTATTTGTGGGGCCACGAACCGTGTGAGGGGTGGCGGCCCCCGCATGCGGCCTGTGCCACTGGGGTCTTCGGTGAAGCTCCCTGTGGGACCACGAATTGAATTGTGTGATGGGTGTGCCAAAATGGGTGGCGGCCCCTGCATGCGGCCTGTGCCACTGGGGCCTTCTGTGGAGCTCCCTGTGGGGACACGAACCGTGCGAGGGGTGTGCCAAAATGGGTAGCGGCCCCTGCATGCGGCCTGTGCCACTGGGGCCTTCCGTGGAGCTCCCTGTGGGGCCACGAACCGTGCGAGGGGTGTGCCCAAATTGGTGGCGGTCCCCGCGTGCGGCTGTGCCAAAACAGCTCAGGTTCCCCCTTGACACCATTCCTGGCACATCACCAGTACTTCGCGGAGGAGGAGGAGGAGGAGGAGGAGGAGGAGGAGGAGGAGGAGGAGGAGGAGGAGGAGGAGGAGGAGGAGGAGGGGGAGGAGGAGGAGGAGGAAGAGGAGGAAGGGGAGGAGGAGGAGGAGGAGGAGGTGAGGTGACGCGGGGCGCTGTCGCTTCAAAACGAGGACCCAACACCACAGGAGGGTGGGGAAAAAACACAGAGCAGCTCGAGGGCCTGGCCCACCGACAGAAACGTCGGCGGGACTGCATGAGGGTGCCACTGTGCCCCGCATTCGGCTGCACGTAGGAGACAACTTCTTGCCTGAGTTCGGGGGCGGCAAAGAGGGGGGTGATGACTAGGGGGGGGTGGATATCATGGCGGGGGCCATGATATTTCCACAGATTTCATGGCGCCTCTTCTTGTATGATTACGTCCCTGGTCCCCCCGCTGGGCCGCGCACATGCCGCCGGTCATGATTTGCACCCCCCCCTCTTGGACCCCCCCTTCTTTGCCGCTGCCGATGAGTGGCCTTCCCTGGGATCCGGGCGCTGCTCGGACGAGGCTGGTACGAGGACAAACCCGTTCCAGAGCGTTCCGGATCGCCCTCAGAGCGTTTCGGAACGCTCTGAGAAGGCCGCGCGCGGCCCGAGACGTCCTCCACAGCCTCTGGGTCTCAGAGGTTCGTTGTATCTTCACCCGACTTTCTTCGCGTCCTGGCTTTGTCTTAGACGCATTTTTTCCCACCTGGCGATTTCGCCCGGTCGTCGGGCCCCGAGACCATCACGGGTCGATGCGGCTTGAGAAAATGCAGCGGGAAGATGGAGTCTAGGGCCCCGATGCTGCAATATGTTTCGCAACGTCGGATCTCAGGGTTGGGTGTGGGCCCACCAGGGTCCCCCGTTCACGGAATGCGATGAGCTAGCAGCGGCTTGCGCGCCTGGGTTTGCCCCCCCCGCCGACCCCCGCCTAGGGCCGCGCACCAAAGGCCACTTTTGCCTACAGTGGGAGCCCATGCCAAGAAACACCCTGCTTGCCTTCAGGGTGTCCCGAGTATCTTAGTTTTCGAAGGTTTTGCTCCGGAAATCGTGACGCTCCCACACCAAACATCAATGGGCGTCCTGGGGTCTCAGGGTTGGGCTTCTTGCGAAAGGTTTCTTGCGGTCGAGCTCCCACTGTAGGGTCGCTCTTGCGTGCAGCCGAGGTGGACGCCGCGGGGATGGCGGCGGCCGCCCCGCCTGGGAGCTCGGCCGCGATGCTGTTCGTGCGCGTGCTGTTCGGCGGGCTGGCCTGTCCCGAGACGGGAGCTCCGAGGGCGGCGGGTTCATCGAGGGAGGAGGCATGATGACCATGACCAAGACGTCGCGGGATCTCGTCGACGCCGACCTCGGTCATGGTCCATGACGGCCGCCGCCCATTCGCGAGGAGGGTCCACGAGATGACGATGGGCAAGATGGACGGTGCCCAACATCGACACCAACGTTTCCGCGTTCGGCCTTGGTCATGGTCCTCGTTTTTTGGTTGCTCCAGTCTATTCATAACCACCGCCTGGGGTATCGAAAATCCGGGGGCCTCGGCAGGCGGTGGATATGGGCATCTCCGAATCGTCCACCGCCTGCCGAGGTCCCAGAAGATGGATCCCCCAGGCGGCGGTCTGGGAGAAGCTCACCGCCCCCAAGCCAACCCAACCCGACCCGAAGTCCCCGATTTGCCTTCAGCTTCCGGTGGTGTGGGGGGGGGCGTCGGGGAACATTGAAAACAACACGCGTCAAACCCGTACCCCAGTGGTCTGGTAGGTAGATAAAAGCTCAGGAGGGAACAAAAAACACAGACACAATTAATCGTCGATTCCCAGAAAATATGGGAAAATATGGGAAGTGGGGGGGAAGACAAAAACCCAGAAAATATTTGAAAATATGGGGAATATTTTTATTTGTGTGTACTTATTTGTGTGTCCTGGGGCACCTTCAAAGCTCCCGCGTCCCAGGAACGCCGCTCGGCGCCGTGGCGTACGGGGACAGCGCTTTCCTGGCACGGGCGGCCTCCGCGGGGGCAGCGGCCGCCACCGCGCCGCTGACCGGGGAGCTCCCCACGCTGGCCTTCTGGCTCGCCGCCGCCGAGGGCGCCCGCTCCGACGAGGTGCTTGCTGTGGGCCCCCCGGGATCGGAGTAGGTCCTTGGATTAGCGTTTGAGGTTTAGGGTTTAGGGTCCTGGGTCCACTCGCCCAAACTTGAAGCTTGTTGGACGCGTCCCACCCACCCATGACCCAAGACATATTGATCTCAAAACGACGACGACGACGACATCGATGACGAAGACGACGGTATCGATTTCAAAACGACGACGACGACGACGACGACGACGACGACGACGACGACGACGACGACGACGACGACGACGACTACACAGTCGCGCAAAGACTTCTGGGAAGTCGCTGCAACAGCGATGCGGCCCGCGTGCGCGACGACGCGATTTGAAGAACAACGTAGATCGACGCGAGTCCCTGTGCGTCGCAGGGATGCCGCCCAATGGCGGTGAGATTGCACGGAGTGGCTGCGCAAGGGTCGCTGCAGCGGCGATGCGGCCCGCGCGCGCGCCGACGCGATTTGAAGACAGCGCGTATGGACGCGGGTCCCTGTGCGTGGCAGGAACGCCGCCCAGCGGCGGTGAGATTGCATGGAGCGGCTGCGCAGGACGCGCAGGATAGCTCGTTGCCTCGAGGAGAGGAAACCGCATGTGCATCTTCGGGGCTGCGGCGCGGCGCGCGAAGGCCGATGCAAGTGCGATGTGCAGCGTGCGCGCGACGCGACGCCACGAGCTCCCCGCAACCCCTTGTCGACGCCTTGGCGATGCATAGACCAGGTTGACACGAAGTGCGCGGGATGGTTCATTGCTTGGCGAAATAGACCCCGTGTTTGTATCCTTGGCACCGCGAGGCGATGCGCGAAGGCCGATGCATGGGCGATGCGACCCGCGCGCGCGTGAAGAGACACAAAACAAAGGATAGCCCCCCCACCCCACATGAACAGCAATTCGCCGATGCCTCGGCGATGCATGGCTTAGCTCGACGCGAGGCGCGCGGGATAGTTCGTTGCTTCCACGAGAGGGCCCCCCCCTTAGCATCCTTGGGACTGTAGCGCAGCGCGCGAAGGCCGATGCAACGGCGATGCGACGCACGCGCACGCGAAGCGACGAAACGGGTAGATCCTCGCGGCAGGCTGCCGACGCATTGGCGATGCGTCGCCCGGCTCGGTGCGTCCGCTGCAGATCGCGCTTCGCGACATCCGCCGAGCGCGGCTCGAGTGTCTTGGCGCCCCGACCGACCTCGCTCGCCAGCGCGCCACCTGCCGCGCTCCTCGATCCCCGCCGTGGGCGCGCCGGGACTCTTCGGCTCTCCCGCCCACGCTGCGCCCAGCGCCGCCGGTCAGAAGCGCGCCTTCGAGCCCCCAGCGAGGAGCAGCTGCGCCGTTCGGACCGCGTCTGCTTTGCCCTTCGGGGCCACGAGGGAGAGTCCGTCGTCGACAAGGCGCGGCGGCGTGGAAGAAAGGAGGGGTCGCGTGCGCGAACACGGCGCGTTCCCCTGGGGCGGGGGAGCGATCGCGCGCGGTGAGCACCCTGCTGTTCCACTCGGTGCGTCGCACCAGTGGCCTGCGTCAGCCACCGCGTCAGGGCCCCCGCGCGTCGTCGCGCGCGATCCCCCTTTCTATGCGTCGACCAGGTGCTTCTGGACAAGCTGTGGGAGGCCGCGGCCCAGGGCTCCCATTGGGCGAAATCCCGCGCTTACTTGTCGAGCGATTCGGAATATCGTGTCGGGGTCGGGATCAGCCAGACGGCGGGGGCCTTGGCGGCGGCGGTCCGGAAAGTCCGGGGCGATCCCCGCATCGAGGCCGTAGTTCAGAAGAACCTTTTGGAAAAGGCTCTGCCCGAGGCCAACGCGTTGCTGCCGCACTTGGACAGACTGAGCGGCGGCCGCAACTCTGAGGCCACGAACGCCAAGGACAAGGGCGTCAGTTTCGCGAAGCTTAAGGCTGCAGCGGGCTCCCCGGCCGGCGGGGGCGGGGGCGGCGGGGCGGGGGCGGCGGCGCCGCCCCGCCCCGCCCAGGCCGGAGGACCTTAAGGCGTCGGCGAAAGCGGTGCACGAGTGGCTGTCGCAGCCGCAGAGCGCCCTGCGCGGGCTGCTCAGCATCCTGGCTGGCGGGGGCGTCTCGTGGGTTGCGCATGCGTTTGAAATGGTGGCGCGGGCCGGGGTGCTCAACGAGCCCTTGGACCTCGAGGCCTTCGCGGACGCCGTCGGGGCCCGCTGCGCCGGCGCCGCGGCCGGCGAGGCGCCGCTCGGCCGCGGGGTGGGCGATGCGCAGGGCCTCCTCGCCGCGCGAGACCCCCGCGCGCCCGTGGCCGCCCGCCCCGCGGCCCCCGTGGGCCGTCGGCGCGCGGCTGCCCCGCGCAGAGGTGTAGTCGCACTGCAAGTCAGTGATAGGCAGCGACGCGGCATCCTCCTCTGTCAGATCAGAAACGCACCGCTGGGCCGCTCCCTCGTCGCCCGCCGCCGCGCTGTAGCGCGCGCGCCGCAATGCGCCGCGCGCCCGGACTCGCTGGCGCCCAGGGGCGCGTCGACGGGCTTGCCCCAGCATCAAAAGCCGCTGCGCCGCGCGCACGCGACCCATTCCGCCTCGGCCACCGGCGCTGCCCACTCACCAGCGTCCACGCGCGCAGACCGAGGTGCCGAGCGCCCGGGGGCGGCGCGTTCCATCGCCGACGGCGGCAGGTCGCACCCGCCAGGGCATGCCGCGGCGGCGGCGGCGGTCTCGACAGAGCCCGCGGCCGCCCGCGGCCTGCAGTCGCGTTGCGGCGGCCGCAACGAGGGCAGAACGTCCAGGACCCGAGTGCCATCCAGCGTCGGCCTCGGCGAATGCCGTCGGGCGCCTCAGCGTCGTCCGCGGGGTCTCCGCGTAGCTCCTCTACCGGCCTCGGCGCGCGTCCAGCGCCGACTGCGAAGCAGCGGTTCGATTCGGTCAGCCACGTCGAGGCGGCGCGCGAAGGCCGATGCATAGGCGATGCGACGCGTGCCCGCGCGAAGCGACAGAACGGGTGGCACCCCGGAGCGCCCTGTCGATGCCTTGGCGACGCGCAGACCAGCTTGACGCGAGGCGCGCGGGGCGGTTTGTTGCTTCCACAAGAGGGGTTCCCCCGTTTGGCCTTCCTGTTCGCCCCAGTGCACGCGGAGCGGAGGGGGGCGACGCCCCCCTACGCGCCACCCCCAGGACGCCAACCTGGCCCTTGTGGCCCGCGCGCGCGCGGGCGGGGCTGGAAGAGCGCCGGGGGGGGGCGGGCGGGGGCGTTGTCTCCGCGCCGCGTCGCCGGCGCTGGGCCGAGCCCCCCACCGCGTCATCGGCGGACTCGCAGCGATGCATTGAGAACCGGCTTGCGCCGTTCTCCACCGCCGGCCATCGCGGCGCCGGGAGCTTCTCGGCGAGAGGCTCCCAGAGGAGGGGGCTTCTCGGCGGCCGTGGGCGCCCCGCCGCGCTGGCTCCGTGGCGCTTGAACGCGCCGCGGAGCGACCGCGCGACGGGGCGGCCATAGCCGCTGGGGAACCCAGGGGCCATGTCCAGCCTCCACGGGGCGGCCCTTGGGGAAGGGCACGGGGGCGGCTCTCAACCCGAAAGGGTCGAGGTCGCGTCCGCGCCTCTCGCGAAGGACAGTAACGACGTCATGCCTGGCGACAGGCGTGCGCCCAGGAGGTGGCGAAACGTCGCAGAACGCCATTCCTGGCCCTCCGAGGCCACGGATCTGCGTGAGGGGCGCGCCTTGGGATTTGCCGATCCTCTCGGAGTGCATTCCTGGAGGTCCGAGGCCGCGGATCTGCGCGACGGTCTCGCCCTGGAATTTGCAGATCCGTCCAGAACGCCATTCTTGGCACTCCGAGGCCAAGGATCTGCTTGGGGTGCGCTCTGCGATTTGCAAAAGCTCCCAGAGCGCCATTCCTGGGACTTCAGGGCCGCGGATCTGCGCGAGGAATGCGCCCTGCGATTTGCAGAAGCTCCACCATTCCTGGCACTCCGAGGGCGCGGATCTGCGCGAGGGGTGCGCCCACGTAGGGGGGCGCGGAAGGGGCGGCGTAAGGGAGCATGAAGGAATCTTAGGGTTATAATATTTGCAGGCTCTTACGTATGACTACCCTGCACCGCGCTTGGCCACCTCCACTGCTCGCGCAAACATCCCACCCACCCACCCGCAACTTGGTTTGCAAAACCCATGCGGCGGGGACTGCGATGAGTGCTTGGCGTTGACTGGCGCGTCTCTGCGGCCGCGCCAGCCCGCGCGTGCGCGCGCAGCAGTCCAGCTAGCACTGCGTGACCGACGCGGCCGCGGTGGCGCTGACCGCTGGGCACATCCCAGCGGGCGCTTCCTTACGAGTCGGCGATGTGGGCGGGCGCGGGACCATGGCAACGTCGACAACGGTAGGCGCGATGACGATAGTAGCGAGGCTGGTGACGATGCTGACCGCGCCAACCCAAGCACGTGCGCGCACTGGCCAACTAGTTTGGCGCCGCCGACGCGGCCGCGGTGGAACCGACCGTTGGGCACATCCTTGTGGGCATTTCACTGCGAGTCGGCGACTTCTGCGGGCGCGGTATCACGGCAACGTCGACAACGGTGGGCACGATGATGGTGCGGCCAGTGCGGGCGCCGATGCTGATCACGCTGACGACGACGACGACGGCGTCCCCGCGTCGGCGATGAAGGTCCGGGAAGGAGTTCGACATGCGCTCGCGGCTAACGCGCGAAAGTGGCCCGCATGGTGTTATTTGACACCGATCGTGCCCCCCCAGCACGCGCGCAAAAAGGCGTGCGAATGATCTCGGCATGCGGCGCCAAAAGCCTGTTTGGCAGGATGTCATGAACATGTTGAAGCACCTATGTTGTTTAATTGTATTCTAGACGCTTCGCGTATCCCAATCAGCCCATCCAGAAACGATGTCCAGGCGAGTTGAGGTGAGCAGCGAAGTGCGGCAGCAAAGAGGGGGACGGCCGAAACGTGCAAAGGGGTGAGGAGGAGAAGGAGGAGGTGGATGGATGGATGAGGAAGTGGGAAGAATGAAGATGAATAGGATGAGGAGGAGGCGGAAGAGGAGGAGGAGGAGGAGGAGGAGGAGGAGGAGGAGGAGGAGGAGGAAGATAAGGAATAGGAGGAGGAAAGGGGAGCAGGAGGAGGAGGAGGAGGAGGAGGAGGAGGAGGGCAAACACAACGGCCAGAGGCCCCTTGAATGCCTCTCGGAGGCTCTTGGGGTATCTGTTGGGCGACTCTTGGTGGCCTCTTGGGGCGTCTTGGGGGTCCCTTCGCGATCCTGGGGGGCTCTTCGGGGTCTTGGGTGCCTCGGGGGGGCCGCTTGGGGCCGCTTGGGGTCTTCTTGGGGGCCTCATGGGGGCCTCTTGGGCGCCTGTTGGGGCCATCTCGGGGCCATGGACCTCTTGGGGCTTCATGGGTGGGTTTTTCGGGGTCTTGGGTGCCTCGGAGGGGGCCTCTTGGGGCCGCTTGGGTTCCTTTTGGGGGCCTCCTGGGGGCCTTTTGGGGGCCTCTTGGGGCCATCTTGGGGCCATGTTGGGACCTCTAGGGGCCTCCTGGGCTTTTCTTGGGCCATCTTGGAGGAGATCGATCAAACAAGAGGGGAGCTTCAATTAGGGTCCCTCCCATCAGGAGGCCCAAATGGGGCCCAAACCGTCGTAAAACCAATGATGTTGGCTTCCTCGCCGAGGCCGTTTTGGACGCCGTAACACCTCGCGACACCTCCCGTCCAGGTCCAGGGGAGGGGGTAGGGGGAGGGGTAAACCCTCCTCGAAAGGGAAGAAGGAGGGGTGGCAGGGGAAACGCCCTAAACCACCGACGCCCAGAGGGCTGGTGGGATTACAGGATAAAGCATGCAAATAAAAAGAAACGCAAAAATGCGAACGCGCGTTTTTTTGAACAGTAGTGTTTCGAACCGTGTGTTTTTTACAGGTTTTTCGCACACTCGGTTCTGACATCGCTACGACACCGAAGGTTTTTTAACGGATTTCGGCATGCGCGCGCGACGACGAGCGCGTGTGCACTTCGTCTCGCTTCTCGCAACGGATTCTCGCGATGGTACGCGGGCAAGGGCGTTCAAACGATTTCGACACACGCGCGCGCGAAACCCGAAACGCGTCTCCAGGATCCACGTCTGCGCGAGCTTCTTGGAGGGCACGCCTGCCGCCACCTGCCGCCGACGACCTCCGTCTGCGCGCGCGCGCCGCGGCGTGAGTGGCTGTGCCTTCCGCCGAGGGCCTGGCACCCCGTCCGGCACAGTGGCCTGCCGCGGTCACAACCCCACCCCGAGGGGCGCCCGCGCGCCCCGGCCAGCTGCGAGGCCCGGCGGCGGGACGTCCGCCGCCGCAGCCCCCTGCCGTCTCGGCAGACGCACCCGCCAGGCCATCCTCGGCGCGACACCAACGCCAATGGCGTCGGCGTGCAAACGCCAGCGCGAGCGAGCGGGCGTCGAAGGTGCACGCGCCGGGAGCGCTGCTGCCGCGGCCCCTGCCCTCCTGAGGCCGCGCATCCTGTTTTATCACGCGCAGCCCTTGGCGCGTCCGCGCAGAAAGCAGCCCTGGGCCCGCGGGCCCCCGCCCCGTCCTGTTCGGAATCTTGCGTTCTTGTAGTTTTTGTTGGACATTCGATTTTGAAATCCTCTCGAAACCGAAGGTTTCTGATGAATTTTTGCATGCGCGCGCGACGACGCGCGCGTGTGCACTTCGCCTCGTGTTTTTTTTTTGCAACGGGTGATTGAAAACTACAGGCTTTTGGTAAACGAGTGCACGCGCATAGTAGTTTTTTGCAGAAGATGGCGGGCGGGGTCGATACCGTCTTGGCTGGGATGGTATGAGTTCATCTATAGGTCTATAGGATGGACGATGGGGCAGAAACGCATGGGGCAGAAACGCATGGACATTGAAATGCAAAAAGGGGGGCGGATAATCACAGGGGTGGGTAGAGTCTATTGCCTGTTTAGAAACGAGAATTCCGTGTTCAGGGTTCAGTCTGAACCCGCGAGTCGCGCCGCATCGCCGATGCATCGCCGACGCGGCTCGATGCGGAGCTCGACTTTCTCCACGCCGATGCGTCGCCGAGGCGTCGCCGACGCGTCGCCGATGCCTCGGCGATGCTTCGGCGATGCGGCGCGATCCTGCGACCCCATCTTCAGCCACGCGCAGAGGGGGGTGGGGGAGGGGGGAGGGCTTCTTAGAAGCACCCCTGCTTCTTAAAACTCGGGCCTTCTTTGTAGATGTAAGGCCGGCGCCTTCCAAGAAGCAGCCTCCTTCTAAGAAGCCCTCCCCCCTCCCTGTGTGTGTGCGTGTGTGTGTGTGTGTGTGTGTGTGTGTGTGTGTGTGTGTGTGTGTGTCCCAGCGCCCCTTCCGTCTTGGAGGCCTCCCGAGGTGCGGGGCGCCCTGGAGGGGCTGCTCGCGGCGGACCCGGGCACCTTCGTGGCGCTGGGCCACCGCCCCGACCTGCGCGTGCCGCTGGAGCCGCCCAGGCTCGGCGCCGCCCCGGCAGACTGCTCGCTGGGTAGTCGAAGGCCAGACTGTCAGATTGGATTGGGCCCCAAGGGCCAATCTGGCCCGGCCAAACTGTATGATTTGGGTTATTCGCCAGATTGGATTCGCGTTGACTCCCTCGCCAGATTGCCCCCGTTTGCCAGATTGGGCCTGCCAGATTGGCGCCAGATTGGCTTCGACTACCCAGACTCGGCCACGCGCAGAGGGGGGTAGGGGGAGGGGGGAAGGCTTCTTAGAAGCACCCCTGCTTCTCAGAAGGCGCGGTCCTCATGTATGGATGTGAGGCCGCCGCCTTCTAAGAAGCAGCCTCCTTCTAAGAAGCCTTCCCCCCTCCCTCCACCCCGTTCTGCGCGCCGCCAAGCTACTATAATGTTAAGTCGGGCCTGTCCCCCTACAGGGAGATTTTCGACGAAAACGATAGAAAATACCCCAACATATAGTCGAAATACAGTCCAAATAGTCTGGGGAGTATGTTTTTAGTGCTCTTTGGCCCTTTTGGAGCATTTTGGGGGTATTTTTTATTTCTCGTCGAAAATCCCCATGTAGGGGGACAGGCCCGACTTAACCATAATGTGTGCGTCGCCCCCCCCCCCAGGGGCGACGCGCGCACCGAGAACTCTCATAGTATGTCTATGCTTCGTGGCGGGCGCTTTTCTGGCCACACCGCTCGGGGCACAGTGTACGACAAAAGGGGCATAATACTCCAGATTTCGTAATAAAGGGAGGGGGGTCTCATTTCGGGGGGGGGGGTCTCTTCCAGGCTATCTTGGAGGGCCTGGGGGGGTCTGGGAACGGTGTTTTGGAGGGTTCTCCCACGGGGGGGGGGGTCTAAGACTTCTCCTCTGGGAGGGTCGAGACCCCCTCCCTTTTGATGACGAGATCTGGAGCAGATGTTCGGGTCGGACGCGCACGCCTCCGAGGAGGACGCAACGTATTAGTAGGTCCTCGTGCGTCCCACACTGTAAGAGCGGTTTTTTGAAGGCAGATCTGCCCTCAAAAAATCTGTAAGAGCGGTTTTTTGAAGGCAGATCTGCCTTCAAAAAACCGTTCTTCATTAGTACACCTTAGGCGATGTTTAAGAAAACTTCAATTTTCGGCCAGGGTCTCGATTATTCTTAATGTTTCAATGTAAATCCTAAGATTCGAATGGGAATTTTGGGTTTTTATTCAAGTTCTGAGACTATGAATTTCTTAACCCATGATTTCTTAAGCATTTCGCAGGGTGTAGGTCCTCGTGCGTGCCACAGGCCGCCGCCCGACCCCCTCGGCCTGGGGTCGGCCCTGGACGAGGCGATCCGGTGCTCGCTGGCCGCCGGCGGGGGCTGCCGCGGCTCGCCGCTGGTGGCCCAGGCGCAGGGCACCGCCTGGACCTTCGACTCGGGCAAGGTGCGAGCAGGGGGGGTCGGCTGCAGAGCGGATTTTGCCCCTCCTCCTCCTCCTCCTCCTCCTCGTCCTCCTCCTCCTCCTCCTCCTCCTCCTCCTCCTCCTCCTCCTCCTCCTCCTCCTCCTCCTCCTCCTCCTCCTCCTCCCCCCCCTCCTCCCAAATTCACCGCCCACCAAGCCGCCCCCACCCAACCCGAAGGCCCCCACTTGCCCCACAGTTCCCATGGGGAGGGTATCGGGGAGTACCGAACAAAACAATGTGAAGCCCGTGCCCCCCAAGCCGACGTTCGGATCTTCGGGTTGGGCTGAGGCGGTCTGGTAGGAAGTCACAAGGTGATATCCCCGTCGAGTCGACAACACACCTGTGGCACTCTCTAATGGATTCGACGGGAAAAAAAACAAGTTAGGGGTAGATCCAATCTGTACTGCATAGCTGTATCGTCGATCCCCCACTCGAGAGGTCGTGTTTTCCTCCGCGCGCACGGGGTACACGGTGCTGCAGGTGCCCCTCGGCGACCCCAGCATGGCCGCGGCGGAGGCCCCAGGCGGCCTCGTGTGGGTGCCCGCCTCCCCCTGCGGCGCGCCCTGTGCGGGCGGGCTGCACGTGGCGCTGAGTGCGAACCCGCTGACGGTCTCCACGTGGCGCCAGGCTCAAGCCCGGTCGTGTCCCTCTGCGGGAGGAACATTCCAGGACACCCCCAGAGTAGTCTGGAGACGATTTCTCGACGATTTGCATTTTTATATAAAAATCATATTGAAGCTATATATATATATATATATATAGATACAATGATTTATTTCTCTTCCCCAAAAATCCGCCTGTAGGAGGACATGCCCGACCCGACGCCAGGCGAGCGCGGCCGCCGCGGCGGGCGCAGGCCCCCCGCGCGACGGCCTCGCCGCCGGCGACGACCTGCGGTGGCTCCGCACCGGGGGCTCCTCTTCTGGCGGCGCCCCGCCGTGCGGCGAGCTGCTCGGCGAGGTGGCGCTCGCCGGCGCAGCGGCGCCCGCCCCGGCGGCCGCGCCGCGGGGCGGGGCGGCCAGGAGGTGCGTGTGGGTGTCAGGCCTCGTCCGCCGTCCTCTGCCTCCCCACCCACCAAGCCACCCCACACCCCAGCCCGAAGGCCCCAATTCGCCCTCCATTTCCAGTGGGGGGGGGGTGTCGGGGAGCATCGAGAAAACACATAAGGAACCCGTATACCCCCCAACCCGAAATTCGGGTCTTCGGGTTGGGTTGGGGTGGTCTGGTAGGTAGTCACTTCCTCCCTCCTCGCCCGTCGTCTCCGTGGCGTCCGCGTCCGTCGGCCCCGGATCCTCGCTCGGACCCCCTGCCGCTGGGCGCTCCCCTCCTCGTCGGTGCAACGAACAAAACATGCGTGGGGGTGCCAGGCCTGCCTGCCTGCGGCGCCGCCGACCTGGCGGAGTCGCTCGCCGTGGCACTGGGCGCGCACCTGGTCTGCCTCGGCCCCGGCGCCTGCCGCGGGGGGCCCTACCCCGCGGCCTCGGCCGTGGCCGCGGAGGCGGCGCGGCGGGCGCTGGACGCCGCCGACGCGGGGCACGAGGCCGTGGTCGTCTGCGACGCGTGCTCGGCCCCGGCGGAGGTGCGCTCGGGGCCAACTCTTGGGAGGGGGGGGGAGCCCGTGGGGGTGGGGGGGTGCACGCGCCTGGGCGCGCCCGGCAGAGGAGTTCTTCGACTGCGCGAGTGCTCGGCTCTGTGCTCGGGCTGGTCTGTAGCTGTAACCGTCCCGCGCCTGCGCCCTCGGTGGCCGCCCTTCGCGGGCGTGCAGGCCCGACCTGGCCTGACCTGGCCCAAGGGGGGGGGGTGGCATCGACCCCCAGTCGACCATTCAGCGGCGACAGGGGGAGCGTGCGGGCTTGGCACCGCTCGGAGAGGTGCATCCTTCTTAGCTCACCACCCACCAAACCACCCCAACCCAACCCGAAGGCCCAAATTTATCCTCGATTTCCAGTGGGGGGGGGGTCGGGGAACATGGACAAAAACACATGGAACCCGTACCCCCCCCAACCCGAAATTCGGCTTCGGGTTGGGTTGGGGTGGTCTGGTAGATAGTCATTAGCGGGGCTGGCGCCAGAAAGTCTGGACCACCTGGGAGCATCTCGGATCATCTTGAGCAACAGCACGCGCGAAGCCAAACAGTGCACGGGAAAATGGACGTCCGATCGATGGCAAGCGGGGGCCCGCCGCCGATCTGCCGGCGGTGCACCGCCGATGCCAGGTCGACGCTTCCTCCCCTAACGCAGATCCCCCCCTTTAAGACGGTGCCCCTGAGGTGCTGGTGGCGCTCGAGGGGCACGCCGAGTTTGCGGCCTCCTTCTCGCTGCTGCACGTGGTCTCCGCGGTGGAGCCGGCGATCGCAGACCTCGGAGGAGGGCCGCGCGGAGGCAACGACGGCCCTCCCGCCCGGTCCCGACGCGGCCCGCAGCTGGTCCGACGCGGCCCCAGAGATCCGATCTATCGTGATTCGTTTAGTTCAGGAGAGGAAAAAACACACAGACACAATTAATCTTCGATTCCTCAGGAAATATGGGAAAATATGGGAAGTGGGGGGGAAGACAGAAACCCAGAAAATATCGAAAAATATAGGGAATCTTTTTATTTGTGTGTATTTATTTGTGTGTCCTGGGGCCCCTTCATCAATGCGGGGACCCCCGGTGTACCGATAGCTTCAGCAGCATCGGACGCTCCCGTCCAGAGTCCTCGGAACGCCTGAGGTCGATCTGCTTGCGGCTCGAGCTATGGCCAACAAAGTATTCGCACTCTGCAGCTCTTCCGAGCGAATGTTCGGATGTTCAAAGTCTCGACGCATTCCCCGGGGCCGGTGTTGCACCCCGAGCCGTTCTTGGACGGCCCTGGGGCCTGGCGAGAGCCCCATATAGAGGCCGAAAGCTGCGAAACGCCTGCGCTCCGATGTTTTCCACACGTTGGATCTCTGCGGTCCCCAGGACCCCTCCCGAGGTCCGTCGCCGGGGCCCGTTTTTCGAGGAGGCCAGCAGCGCGCCTCATGGTCAAGCAGTGGCGAAGCGTCCTGGCTCGCCTACGGCCCCACCAAGCAATGTTCTAAGAACCTTTTGTGGTTCCCACGAGATGTTCCTAGAACATTTCTGGCGGAGTCCGTCTTGTTTTAAGACATCGGGAATAGGTTCTAAGAACATTGTTTCTGTTCTTGGAACATTCTGGGGTTCTAAGAACATGTCGTGGTATGACTGTAGGAATGCCGGGACGGTCGGTCACTGCTCAACATGGGAGGGCCGCCGCCGTGTCGGCGTGGCGCCCCCCTCCGAGCATACCCCTGGAGCAGCGCGCGGCACCCCCTGCTGCTGAGCAGGACGCGCGTCGGCGCGCGCGGCCGGGGGGGCAACGCGTGCCGAGGCCTCCCAGATGGGTCGGGGGTGGACAGAACCCCCAACAGTGACACGTCGATTAGTGAATTGTCCGTTTTCGGTTCTCGAGATGGCGCCGTGGCCGTTATTTTCCAGGCTTGCGCCCGCCAGGTTTGGGCCTCATGTCGTTTTCACTAAACCACGTCTTGCTAGGGGGGTCTGTCCATCCCCGAATGGGGGTCCGAGCAGGTGGGGTGGCATCGCTCGGACGTGTGCATTTTTTCTCGGCGAGGGCCATCGAGGAGCATCCTGGATCATTCAGCGAACAAAAAACACGCACGAAATCGAAACATGCACAGGGAATGGACGTCCGAGCGATGGCCAGGTGGGGTCGGAGGATCGCGCCGCCTCGCCGATGCATCGGCGAGGCGGCTCCATGTGCAGCCCGAGGTTCGCATCGGCGACGTCGCCGATGCGTCGCCGACGCGTCGCCGATGCGTCGCCGATGCGTCGCCGATGCATCGCCGACGCATCGGCTATGCGGCACGATCCTCCGACCCCACCTGCTCCGAGCCCATCTGGGAGGCCTCTATAAGGACTCGGCGGCGCGTCCGGCCCGGGGAAGCGAGAGGGGGCAGGCCCTCTCAGGAGGCTCAGAGGGCTTCCGGAGCCTTGTCCGAAGGCACCAAACCCAGACCCCCTCGGGCCACGCAACAAAAATCATGACAGGAGGTTTTCCTAGTTTTCGGCCTCCGGGGGCCCTCGCCGGGCCTGGGGACCGGCAAGAAGCAACCCAGGATGAGACACTGGTCCTGGAAGGTGGGTCGAGAACTCTGGGGATCGACGTGGTGAGCAAAATCATGACGTCGGGAGTCCGGGAAGGTTTCTCAGAAGGCAGGGGAAGCCCCGCCGCCTCAGCTGTGTGCGTCGGTCCCAGGGGGGGGCAGCGGGGGAGTCCGCGCCCCTGTACGCTGGCAGGTGGGGGTATAACCAACTTTTCCAGCCGCCCTGGGAGAGGCCAGGCGCCCCCGATCGCGGAGGAGGTCATTCTGTACCGTACCCTTCTTCGCCTCCTCCTCCTCCTCCTTCTCCTCCTCCTCCTCCTCCTCCTCCTCCTCCTCCTCCTCCTGACGGGCAGTCCTGCTCCCTCTCACATCCCCCCTCGGCGCGCCGCCGGAGGACGTCCCGCGGCTGGGTGGACGCCGTCGCGGTGCATCGGGGGGAAAGAGAAGCGACACCGCCACCACCAGCGGGGCCACCTCCCGCAGGGAGGTCCAGCAAGAGAGGATGCCTCGAGCGAGAGGGGGCGACCACATCACCAGAGGGACCCCCCTCCAGGGACCCCTCCCGATGGTGGTCCCTGCTGGTGGCGGTGCCGCGGACCTCCTTTGCGCCTATCAGGAGGCAAAAGGTGGGAACATGTGGGAAGTTGGGAGGGAAGACAGCAGCCCCGAAAACACGATACGATATGCGGAATCCTTGGATGTGTGTCCTATGGCGGAGGAGGAGGGGGAGGAGGAGGAGGAGGATGAGGAGGAGGAGGGGGAGGAGGAGGAGGAGGAGGAGGAGGAGGAGGAGGAGGAGGAGGGGGAGGAGGAGAGGAGGAGGAGGAGGAAGGGGAGGAGGAGGAGGAGGAGGAGGAGGAGGAGGAGGAGGAGGAGGAGGAGGAGGAGGAGGAGGAGGAGGAGGAAGGGGAGGAGGAGGGGGGGAGAAGGATCGAGGATCGAGGATCCATTGGCCCCTTGGCAGGTGCAGGCCCTCCAGCCCGCTGGCGGCCGGGCGGCGGCCGCGGCCTCTGGCAGGCTGCTGCGGGAGCTGCGCGCGGGCCGCGCCGGGGCCCACGTGCTGCACCGGCCCTCCGCCCTCGCGCTCGCCGAGGCCGAGGGGGGCGCCGGCTGGCCGGCTGCACCGGTGCCTCTGGCCGGGCCAGTCCTGGGTCGGGGCCTATAGGGGCGGGGGTCAGTGCAAACGGAGGTCAGCCAGAGCGCCGGAGCCTGCGGAATCCTGCGAAGGCCCCCTCTGGCTGACCCGGGTCAGCGAGCCGCTCGTGGCCGCGAGGCGGCCGCTCGTATTGGCTGACCCGGGTCTGCGAAGACCTGCGTTGCAGTTTTTTTTCCTGCATTGCAGTTTTTGGTTTCCTGCTGACCCGGGTCTGGATGGACCCGGGTCAGAAGATCCCCGAGAGCGGCCACGCGCAGATGAGGAAGAGGCGCCCGTACCGCTGCCCGTCCCTTTTCTTCCTCTCCCTTGGGCCTCCCATGGGAGGCCCTCGTGGCCACCGCCAGCTTCGCCTCGAGATGCTGGTCGGAGCGCGCCCCCGGAGAGGTGCAGCAGCGGTAATTATGGGTACCTACTGGTTTCTTCCCCAGGGCCCTGCCACGGGGGGGGGGGGGGACATCAAGGTTTCGGGACGTTCTTGTCGGTTCTCAGCGGTTTTCCAGCCTCGGGATGCCTTCCTGCAGCTGCGAGTCGCCGAGAGCGTTCCAAGGGTGCCCAGATCGGCCCGAACGGTCGCCAGAGGCCCGAGTTATGGCCCGAACGGTCGCCCGAGTTATGGCCCGAAAACCGTTTAGGACCGGCTTAGGGTGGCTATATCTGCACCTCCCTGGAAGATTGGCGGGCGCACGGGGGGGCAGGGGGAGGGGGGAAGGCCTCTTAGAGGCACCTCTGCTTCTGTGAAGGCGCTGGCTTTGGGCAGAAGACGGCCTTCTGAGAAGCAGCCTCCTAAGAAGCCTTCCCCCCCCCTCCTGGGCGCGGAGGAGGAGGAGGGAAGGAGGGAGGGGAGGGGAGGAGAGAGGAGGAGGAGGAGGAGGAGGGGAGGAGGAGGAGGAGGAGGAGGAGGAGGAGGAGGAGGAGGAGGAGGAGGATTCACCCCTCTGTGCGCGCCGCCAATCGGAGGAGGGCGGGCTGCGACCACGGCAGCTGGCCTTCGGGGGGGTCCCCCTCGTCGCCACGGCTGGGCGCCGCCTTCGGAGGACTGGACCGACTGGGGCCGCCGTTGCGTCAGCTCGCCCTGCAGCAGGGCGAGCTGACACAACTCGCCCTGCATCGCCCCGAATGTGTCAACTCGCCCCGGCCCTGCAGCAGCTCGAGTTGACACAGCTCGCCGTTGTGTCAGCTCGCCCTGAATCGGAGCAGGGCCCCTGCTCCGATCCAGGGGCAGCGTCGAGGGGGACAGGCTCAGGGGTGGGTGAATGCATCGACCCCCATTCGTTTGTGCATCGTCGATGGGGGCCTGCTTCCCCGAACAGCCCCCCGCGGGATGCGGGCAGGCGAAGCCTGCGGTCGTATCTGGCGCAGCAGGACCACACCACGCCTGCACCAGGACGCGTAGAAGGAATCCAGGGAGTCCGTGGACGGGATGATGGCTGCCAGGAAAAGCGCCCTTTACGAATGCACATCCCCCTCCAAAGGACCCCATAGCCCACCATGCCCTAGAGCGTGCGGATTCGCCATCGGGGGCCCATCGCCGACCGATCGTCGATGCCTCGCCTGTTCCAGGTCGACGCTTCCCCCCCCTGATACAGTTTTTTTCCTTGGTATCCCCAAGCTGTTAAAAATGAGGCCCCCGCTGTCCCCCCAGCTGGATCCCGGCTGCCATTAATTCGCCGCCGACATACCATTTGATTAATTGCCCCCCCCCCTGGAACATATTCCACGGAGACCCGAGCGATCCGATTGGTGCATACGCATATGTATATGTAGACAACTATATACCTGTATGTAGACATATGTATGTATGCATGCATGCATGTATGCATGCGTGTACGTATGTACGTATGCATGCATGCATGCATGCATGCATGTATGCATGTATGTATGTAATTATGTGCGTATGTGTGTCTGCGTGTGTGTGTATGTGTGTATGTATGTATGTAAGTATGTCTGTATGTCTGTATGTATGCATGTTTTTTTGTATACACGTATGGATGATTGTCTGTATGTATGTATGCAGGTAGGTAGGTAGGTGTGTATGCATGTGTATACATATATATATATATGTATGTATGTATGCATGCATGTGTGCATGCATGCATGTATGTATGTGTGTGTATGTATGTGTGTGTATGGATGTGTTCATGCATGTATGCATACATGTACGTGGTTTTTATATATATATATATCTATGTATACAGTCATGCATGTATGCATGTATGCGTGTATGCATGCATGATTGTATGTGTGGTTGCATGCATGTATGTTTGCATGCATGTATGTATACAATATGTATGTGTGAATGCATGTGTTTATGCGTGTATGTATGTATGCATGCACGCGTGCATGCATGCATGCATGCATGCGTGCGTGCGTGCATGCATGCATGCATGCATGCATGTGTGTATGTATGTATGTATGTATGTATGTATGTATGTCTGTATGTATGTATGTATGTATGTATGTATGTGTGCATGTATGCATGTATGTGTGTATGTATGTACGTATGGATCTATGTATGTATATATGCATGCATGCATGCATGCATGCATGCGTGCATGAATGTATGTATGCATGCATGCATGCATGCATGTATGTATGTATGTATGTATGTATGTATGCATGTATGTGTGTGTTTGTGTATGTATGTATGTATGTATGTATGTATGTATGTATGTGTGTGTATGTATGTATGTATGTATGTATGTATGTATGTATGTATGTATGTATGTATCATGCATGCATGCATGCATGCATGCATGCATGCATGTATGTATGTATGTATGTATGTATGTATGTATGTATGTAGGTATGTATATACGTATGCCTTCATGTATGTATGGATGTATGTATGGTTGCATGTATGTATGCATGTATGTATGTGTACGCATGATTATGTGTATAGTTGTATGCATATGTGTACACACACATCTATATCTATATATATATATACATCTATGCTTGCATATATATGTAGATCTATACAGTCGAGCTTGATTAGTAGGTCGACCCTGCCAAATCAAGGGTACCATTGTGTCCTGTGCTGCGAGACCCACGCCTTCCGCATTCCCATGGCCACGTGGCCCTCGGAAGGGTTTTGTGTCCTCTCGCGTGTCCTCTCGAATCAAGTCCGACTATATGCACCGGGGGGAGTCGGGCCTGCCCCTTTACAGGAGGAGTATTCAAAAATGATAGACAAAATAGCCTGCGGACCATTGTTTGAGCATTTTTTGCCCATTTTGGGGTATTATTTGGCTATTGTTTAGTCTTCTTCCAAAATCCCCCTGTAGGAGGACAGGGCTGGTGGCTCCCGATGGGGCCCCTCGACGCGCCCCTCGTGGCCCCCCGACGAGGGGCGCGTCGAGGGCCCCTCGTCAAGGGGCCCTCGACGCGCCTTGGGGGCCCCGGGGCCCCAGGTGGTGCTGGGATCGCGCCCGGAGGCCGCAGACGGCCCCCAGAAGGCGCCGAGGGAGCTCCAGGAGCGGTCGAAGAGGCCTCCAAGACAGCCCAAGAGCGCTCCACGACGCCCAAGGTCTCCTAGATAGAGGATAGCCCCAAGAGCCCCCGAGGCTACCACGGGTGCCCGAAGACGGCCCCAAGATGTGCGCAGGAGGCCCCAAGAGGCCGCCGAGATGCCCCCAAGATGCCTCCAAGAGGCTGCCATGAGGCCCCATCAGAGGCCTCAAAAGGCACCCAAGACGCACCAAAAGGCCTCGGCGAGAAGGCCAACATCATTGATTTTACAAGGGTGATATTTCTATATGCACACTACAGCGATGGAAATAATTGTCCGACCATCCTGTGGTGTTGGGTCCTCGTTTTGAAGAGACAGCGCCCCGCGTTCCTCACTCCTCTCCTCCTCTCCGCCTCCTCCTCCTCCTCCTCCTCCTCCTCCTCCTCCTCCTCCGCTTGAAGATGGCGATCACGGGGACGTCCATGGCGGTCTGGTTTGCCCCGCCTTCCTTTTGTCTTCTGTGTGCGCACGACAGCGTTGGGAATAGCTATTTGTTCAAACGTCCCCCCAAATTGTTTTCTGGAGCTGTTTTTAGACCCCTCGATCCTGGGCAGCGTCCACGCGCCCAGATGGGTCCGTAGCAGATGGGGCTGGAGGGTCGCGCCGCGTCGCCGATGCATCGGCGATGCGGTTCGATGTGGAACCCGATTCTCTCCACGCCGGCGTCGCAGATGCATCGCCGACGTCGGCGATGCGGTGCAATCCTGCGATGCGATGTGGCGCGATCCAGAGCACGTTTTTGTTCGCCCGGCCGTCGCCGATGCATCGCCGATGCATCGGCGATGCGTTGCGATCCTCCGACCCTCTCCTGCTCGGGCCCCATCCGAGCGGCCTCCACGGGGCCTTTTTTACATGCCGTCCTGGCCAGACTGGGAGGTGTGCGTTCGCCATGGATCGAGTAGGGGATCGACTAGAGGATTGATTTACCATTTTTTCGTATTTTTTTGTCGATTCGACGGGACATCATTTTTTGGGGTACATCGATTCTGTAGTCGATCCGCTACTCGAATGGAGGGGAGGGAGGAAGGAGAGGGGTTCCGAGGGAGACGGGTCCGAGTGAAGTCTTCCTGCTCCCCTGGGCCAGCCTCTCCCGACGCGCTGTTCCGTTGCGGACCCCCGGGGGCCCGTGGAGGGCCCCAAGCGGGCCGAGAACGGCAAGGCCTCTGCTGGACACCCTCCCAGGCTCAGGAGGGAACAACGACACACAGACACAATGAATCATCCATTCCCCAGAAAAGATGGGAAAGTATGGGAAGTGGGGGGGAAGACAAAAAATCCCAAACATATGGGAACATAGGGGGAATCTTTTTATTTGTGTGTATTTATATATATGTGTGTGTGTGTGTGTGTCCTGGGGCCCCTTCCCAGGCGTCCGACGATGTGCTTGTGCAATGTGCGGCGGTAGATTCGAGCCGGGGTTCGATTACATAATAGACCTACAGTAAAAAACCTGAATAAGGACGCGCGGTAAGGACGCAAGACCCTTGGAAGCCGAAGTTGGGCTTTTTGGGGCGGCGGACGACGAAAACCCCAAGGACGCAAGGGTACCCTGACAAGCGGGCAAGCGAAAGAGGCCAAGGACGAGCCGCAAGAGCAAGGAAAAGCAAGGACGCAAGGGTACCCTGAGCAAAGTCGCGCGTCCTTGTTAAGGTTTTTGACTGTACTCCAACATTGATTTCCCCGCCGAGTCTGCGAAGCAACGTATGCACAATGTCCCTCATACCTACGAGCTTTCTACGCGTTTCCTTTCTATTCGGCGGGAAGCTCAGTTTTGGAGTCCATCAATTCTGTAGTCGATCCCCGACTCGGTAGATGTCCCGACCACATCCCCAGGGGTGTTGTTTCGTCCCAGAACCCTTTCTGATGGGCCGACAACGGGCCCAAGAAGACGACGTCTGACCAAGAACATCGGGATGGAACAACACGTACCGTCGGACATTTGGGTTTCCTTCATGCCGAGTGTATGCACTGACCCCGCGGGCCAAGAAGGTCAGGGGCGACCTGACCGACCCCTTACGTGACGACACCCTCGCCTAGTTGAAGGACGTGGGGAGGCGACCAGATGGAGCCTCGTGTGTGAGGAGGAGGAGGAGGAGGAGGAGGAGGAGGAGGAGGAGGAGGAGGAGGAGGAGGAGGAGGAGCGATTCGACATGAGCTGACTCGCTACTTGCCCCCTCTTCACTGTCCCCCCCTCCGACCCGAGCTGACGGGGTCGGCCAGGGCCGCGCGACCCCACGGATGCGGGGCTGCCTTCGCGGCGGCCCCGCGCGGAGCGCATCCATGCGACCGCGCATCCACGGGATCGCGCCCCCCAAAAATCCAGACCGCGAGGGGCGCAGATGTGGGCATGTCTGGCGGACGGCAGCGGGGGGGGCAGGCCATACTCGTTGGGGATAGGAGGAGGAGGGCGAGGAGGAGGAGGACGAGGAGGATGAGCAGGAGGAGGAGGAGGAGGAGGAGGAGGAGGAGGAGGAGGAGGAAGAGGACGTGGCACTGGAGGGGCCCTGAGCGGCCCCGAAACTGCCACCGAGGGCCCCCAAAAAGGTGCACGCCTCTTCGCCCCACCCAGTTCGGAGCCGGAGA